TGAGTTTATTTATGTAACAGTTATACCCCGCTTTTCCGCTGATATTTAAGGCTCCAGGCAGCTTGCGCAGTTATTCGAAGAAAGAAAAACGCACCAACCCCCCCCCCAACCTTTAATTAAAACCTTAATAGGATCCTATGGGCCTGCCCCACCTAAAACCCTTCAAAAGCAGGAAAATCCCCACAAATAATCACAGCCCCCCCCCCGTTCTCTGGGCTGGCCCCACTGCTTTCTCGGGAGACAAGAGTCCCCAATGTAAAGAGTTGGCTCCCCGCTTTGCCAAATGGGACCCCCCCAACGGATCCTTTAAAATACCCCTTTTACCTACCTGTTGCTGAGCGCACCCCCCCTCCGATGGCTGAGGCTTCACCTCCCCCTCGCCCTGTGGCTCCCGCAGGTGGATTCTCTACCTCCTGCTCGCCAACTGGTGCCGGCGACAACTCCAGGCGGAGCTGAAGATGCGCTTTGGGCTCTTCTCGATCCGGGCGCTGAGCCTGAAGTTCCAGGAGGAGCAGCAGACGACTGTGGTGGGTACCGGGAAGGTTCGCGTTGACTTGACCCCAACGAGGCTTCGACCAGCGACCGTTTGGGTTGGTCGCCCCCGGCAAGCCTGGGATCGCCTGGGGGCGATCTGTCAATGGGTAGAGGGGAGCAAAAGAATCCTTCCCCCCCCCCGGATGTTCACCCTTCCCGTCGGTGTTTTCCTCTGCCGCTCTAGGAGATTGATAGCGTCTTCCTGTCTAGCAAGCTTTTCAGCCAAAATCTGCCGTAAGTAGGATAGTGTGGCTGGGTTGGGGGCCCTTTTTTTTCCAGCTGCTTCTTCCTGGGGGGTGGGATCCAGACCCCTCAGAAGTCTGGTTCCTGCCGCCTCGGCGGAGCCAGAGCGCGGCGGGAGGGGGTGTCCGATCAATCCGCCGACGAGCCCGAACTGAAGCGGATGGCGCTGGTGGTTCCCCCCCCGTGCAGGCGTTACCTGGCGCTGTGCTTCGGTGAGGTGCGCGTCCGTCTCGACCTGCAGAAGGCGCCGGGGCTCCAGCGGCTGAGGCCCGAATTTCCAGCCGGGGAGGAAGGCAAGCCGGAGAAGGCCCTCTCCCTCGGGTCTTCCTTGCTGCGTCTGCTTAGCCAGGTGAGACCGCCGGCAGGGGTGGGGGTGTCCAGTGCGCCTGGGCTGGGGGAGAGGGTCTCCTCCTTTTGGGAGGTGGCTGTGCTCACGGGCACCCCGATGTCTTCCCAGCTTTGCTCCCTGCACGTGGACTCCGTCAACGTCATGGTCCTGCACGCGGCCGCTTCCGACTCCCTGTGGCACGTCCAGGTCTCGAGGGGCCGGATCCTGCTGGATGGCGACGGCAGAAGGTAAGCCTTCTGTTTGAGAAGATCGAGGAGCGGAGGGCTCCTGATTCAGCCCCCTCAGCAGTACTGTGTCCAGAGGAACTGTGAGGACTAGAAACTTATCCTGCATCCTTTCTCTCCGCCGACTCTTCTGCCCCCCAAGTTCATGGCACAGCATTTCTGGGGAGGACTGAGAAAACCTTGAATAAAACAGGCGGGTTTCTTATTGAAATCGCTTCTTCCCACAGAAACATGAGGACTAGGGGCTTTCTCCTATCCTCTTCTGTTCCTGTTTGTGTTTCCCTGATCCTGAACTGCCCAGCCTGACCCTCTCCTTGGGCCAGGCCTAACTCTTTGCAAACCTCGCTAATGGAGGCAGGTGCAAATTTTCCGTAGCGCTGCGGGCGGGCGGGGATTTGGCAAGCCGCCCAGTTTCCCCACAGAGCTTAGGTGGTAGAGCTGGGTTTCTATGGTGGGCGTGGCGTTTGTCTTTCCGTGCCCACTTTCTCCCCTCTCTGGCTCGGCCTGACCTCTCTTTTCGTCCCCTTCCAGCTCGGCCTGCGAGGTGACCTTGGGCCACGTCAACGGCAAAATCCTCAAGAGCAGCCGCCAGGTGAGACGGCGAAGCAGGGGCTGCGGGCCACCTTCCCAGAGCTATAGGGGCTACGACGCCCCCCCCAAATCCCCCCGCTTGGCGTGCTGTCATCCAGGAAGTGCCTAAAACCCGGCCCTCCCTTCGCTCACGCCGACGGCTTGGCCTTTCCTGGGTGCCAGACTCCTGTCTGTCCCTTTGAGAGGGTTGCTAATCAGGAAGGAAATTAAAAATACAGTTTTGGGAAACGCTGGGCGGAGGACCAGAAAAAGCCACGGCCCTCCGGCCACGTGTTGGGTCCACCCAGCGTGGACGAGCTGACGCTGTTAGAGATCAGCTCCCAGAAGCTTTTCCTCGGCCTCCGGAGAGTCAGAGATTTGGGGAGAGATAATCCAGCGCACCACGCTTGCCCTCCTACCAGTTTCTGCTCCTGGAATTGTGGGTTGTCGTTCAGGAGAAAAGCTCCACCAGCGTTGGCATAGAGGAGGCCCTGGGTTTGAGTCCCACCAGTGCTCGGTCGCTGACACAGGGCCCGGGAGGGGTGCTTTTGTCCTCGCCGAGGGTGCTGAGCAAGACAGGGCCTGTTGTCTGCCAGAGACAAAGCACCCTCTCCCGTCGGGTGTCGACGTCAACGAAATGGCCCTTGTTGCTCCCGAGCTCCTTCCTCTTCCCGCAGGACGACGCCTGCCTGGCCGAGCTCTCCCTGGCGCTCACCGTCTCTTTCGATCTCAGCACCAGCAAGCGGGAGCTGCTCGGCGTGGGCCTCGGGGTGCGGAGCCTGCACGCCGAGCTCCACGAGGGCCTGTTTCACAGCGAGCTCCTGAAACGCGTCAGAGGCCCCGGCGGAGGCCGAGAGACAACAGGTGGAGACCTTGGTTGGGGGGGGGAGAGGGGAGCCCAGCCCTTCCCCTTCTTCAAGGTGCCCCCCCCCCACGTTTTTTGCTGAAGGACTTCTTTGGGGTTTAATGGAGGGAGCTAGAATTTTTGGGACCTCTGGAACGAGTTTGCGGCTTGGCGTCGCCCACGAAGAAAGAGGCTGGGCTCGTTCTTGTGCAATGTTGCGGCAGGTAGCGGGGAAAAGATAAGGAAAGGGGTGTGAGGACAGAGGGGGGGTGGGGAGGTTTTGGTGCTGTTATTCGGGTGAGAAACCCCCACCCTGCCTCTGTTCTATGTACGTGTTTCTCCATCTCTATAGATCCAGCAAAGTCCTCCGAACCGCCACCCCCTCGGCTGAGACCGGCCGGCCTCCGACACGTCCCCCCAGGAGTGAAGGTGGAGCTGGAGAACACCAGCCTGGTTCTCTCCATGAACAGCCAGAAGAGGTAAAAGGGAGGCACCGTGCTCAGGAAAACGTCTGTTGTTTTTTGGGGGGGGTGTTCTGGCTTCACACGCTCCGTTCTGGTGCTCTTTGGCCAATATTTGGCCTGGGAGGGGCGGAGAAGATGGGCCCCAGCTGCCTCTCCCTCTGTGGCCTGCGGGTTTCATGGCGTCCCTGCTTGACATGCAGAAGGTGCCCGGTTTCGTGGCCCGCTCTCTCTCTCTCTCTCCGGGGCGATCTGCAAGACCGTCCTGGCCGGAACCTAGAGAGGCCGTTGGTCAGTGGCTTTGAGGTGGTTTTCTGTTTAAAACAGCCCTGTTTTCCCCCAAACTGAGGACTACCAACATGCGTTGGTTTTATAAAAAGGGAAGGTGCACAAAGCATGTATGTGCCATTTAAAGGCCCCGTTTCCTCCCTGGCTGGGAAAGAGGCCCACCAGCCACGCCCGTGTGTGCCACGTTGACGGCCTGCTGGCCCTCGGAGTAGAGGCGGCCGATCTCCCCAGGGCTCAGGGTGGGAGCGGGTCGTAGATGGCGGCTTTGCTTCCCCCCCGGCAGGCACCTCACCTGGACTTTGAAGCGGCTGCAGTTTGAGTACCAGTCTGACAGGGACCAGATCCCGCTGCGCAGCTTCACCCCGACCTGTGACCTGCCCCAGATGAGCATGGAACTGGCGCTGGAAGGCAAGCGGGGTGGGGGTGGGGGAGGGGAATGGAGGATATTCCGCGGTGGAGCCTCAGAAGGGGGGGAAAAAAAGACCTCTGTGACTTTCCGTATCGTAAGGGGATTGGTTCCAGTCTCCCTAGCAGATGCTGAAAACTGGGGATAACAGCGAACACTATACTGTACATAGCATGGTAAAAGAAAAAGAAAAAACACATAGAAAAAAAGTGTTTTCTTCATGTATTACCAGAACTGGCCATCAGGGGGAACCAGAGACCATGGTGTATGTTCCAACAATAATACAAAACATGGTCTCTGGCTCCCTCTAATGGCAAGTTCTGATAAATACATGGTGAAAAATCTTTATTTCTAGTTGTTTCGTTTAATATTTTTCATACTGTCATACTGTGGTTGAGTGAAGATGTGTTTAAAATAGCTCACGGAAACAAAAACAGGAATAAATGAATGGAGTTATTCAGCCCACCTTAGAAAGTAGGGCAAGCCAGTAAGATAATGAAACCAGCAGCCTAGGAATCGAAAAGGGGGTGGTGGTATTCCTTAGGATCCAGATATGAATGCAGACAGAGGTGCCTTTGCACACCTTACTCTGCTTGGGATTACAACTCCCAGCATCTCCACCTCTCTGCAGTTGTAAGGTCTGGGGGAGTGGACGGGGGGGGGGGTCACAGGTTTTCCCCCACGAAGGAGCTGTCGGCCGTGGATGGGAGGGAGGGTGGGGAAAAGGAGGCCAAGCTGCCATGTTTATTCCCGTTGGCCTCCTCTGTTTCCCCACCACAGACGGCCTCTTGCTCTCCCAAAGCCGCCAACGGATCGTGTGCCTGAGCTCCCTCAAGGCCAACGTGCAGGTGAGCGGCTGCGCCCCCCCCCCAGCCTTTTCCCGGCTCCTCTTTTCCCTCCCTTCGGCCCCCGGGGCCTCCCCTCCCCACTTGTCGGCCTGTCACCTTGTCTCTTCCTCCCTTCGGCAGGTCATGGCCATCGACGTCTCGGTGGCCGTCGTCCTCAGCACCTGCATCGTCCACTACCGACACCAGGAGTTCTCCCAGTGGCTGAGCCTCCTGGCCTCGGGCCAGCAAGCGGTGGGGTTGCCGGCCCCTGCCAGGGACAGAGAGAAGAGGTAAGGGGTGTGTGTATATATATATGTGTGTGTGTGGTACCGCTTGGTGCTTTCCTGCCTTTGATCATCCCCACCCAAGACGGGGCCGGTGGGGTGAGCTTACAGCAAGATGAGCAAGCTCCAAACATCTGGAAACTTTACAACACCCACGTCAAGGCTAAAGGCCGTTGGTACCAAAATACCACTTTGCTTTCTTAAGAAAAAGAGTCGGAGGTTACAGCGAGTTGCAAGCGTGCCACCTTTGAGAGCAAAAATCCTTTCCGCGCCTCCAGAGGCTTGTCCGAGAGAGAGAGTTCTCCTGTGGCTGTATATGTCATTAAACTATTTCTTACCTCTGCCACACCGGCAGCTCCCAAGCCACCGAAACCCTTCCGGTGCCGGAAGGCGAGCCGAGCCCCTTTAAAAACAGCCTCTTCCTCCTCGAGAAGGTGCCAGGGTTCCAGAGGGAGCCGAGCGGTCCTAAGAAGCTTGCAAGAGGAGTCCAGAAGGTGTCCGATTTCGAAAGCAATCTCCCCACGGGGCAGGGCCCGGCCCCCCCTCTAAGCCCGGTTCCCGTTCTGTCCCCGACACAGGATGCCACAGATCCTGGCCACGGTCATCCTCAGCGTCTCGGTCTCCAACGTCAATGTCTCGGTCCAGCTGGGGGATACACCCCCCTTTGCCTTGGGCGTCAACTCCGTCTCGGTCGGTAAGCACGGCGTCCCTTTCCTGCCCCCCCCGGTGGCCGCTGCTTGATCTGGCGGGTTTCCCTTTTCCATTAGACTACAGGATGTTAGAGGGGTTCAGGCAGAGGGTGCTGATGGGTGCTGGGTGAAGGCGCCCTTCCTTCAGGGGGACGTGGCCCCTCTCAGCCCTCCCCGCCTTTCGCCTCCTCGGCGGCCACCCAGCGCGCCCCCTCTGCTCCTTAGATTACCAGCACCTGCGTCCCCAGAGCGTCCACCAGCGGGCCGTCCTGTCCCTGGACCACCTCTGCTGGCGCGTGGGCCCCGACTCGCACATCCTGCAGGCCCCCCACCCGCCCAACACTCACGTCTGGGGGGAGGCCCTCATCCTGGACACCTTCAGCCTCCAGGTAAGGACACCTGCCGGACCCTGGAGGTGGGCAGGGGTGGGCGAGGGGCTGAGGCTGGCGTCTGCGTGTTCAGCTGGGGTGGGGAAGAGAGAGAGACCCGTGAAGCCACGGCGTTGTGGGCGGCAGGCCGAACCTGGGAAAAGCTTTCCTTCCCTGGATTGCCGCCCTTCGAATCTCCGAGATGGCAGCCTGGGGATTCTGGGGGTTGTGGTCCAAAATGGCCCTTGTTCCGGACTCTGGCGCGGTGTGTTGTTGTTGTTGTTGTCATCTTCCCTCTCCCTGGCCCGTTCTCTCTCGCAGGGCAGCTACAACCAGTCGGTGGCCCCATCCAGCTCCCACGCGGACACCCTCTTCCTGGACGTCACCCTCCGGGGCCTGCAGGCGGAGTCGTCGGAAACCTGCGCCGAGTGCCTCTCCCGGGTGCTGACGCTGCTGGTTTTCCGCCCGGGGCCCAAGGGAGCTGTCCCAGTGCCCTTGGACGAGGAGCGGCCGCTTCCCCGGGGGGACGAACCCGGCATCCTCTGGAAGGTCGACCTGAAGGTGGAGGACGCCAATCTGTTCACCCTCTCTGCCCTGGCAGGTGAGCACCCTGGCTGGCTGGCTGGCTGCGGGGGGGGGGAGCCCTTGGCCGCTCGCCAGCCAAGCCGCCAGCGTCTCCCCCAGGAGCCGCGGTCAAGGTTAGAAAGCGACCAGCCCTGTTTCCAAGCAGGAGGTTAGAAAATGGGTGCCCTTGGTCTAAGGGAACCCATGCTCCCCTTCTTGGAGTTGAGCTATGCCTTGAGTAGGGAAGGAGGACTAAATCCCAGGAGGGTTCTCTCTCGCTCCCTGGTGCCTCGTCCATTCCTTACCTGCCCGTTTCCCCTTCGGCATGCAAGGGAGGACCCCCGCAGCCATCATTTCTAGTCCTCGTGGTCCTCTTGGGCGGGGGGCGGTTGTCTGAAAGCCGCGTTCTCTCTCGCCGCAGGGGCTGCGGAGCTGCGGGTGGACACCCTGACCATGCTGGGCAGCGCCGAGAGCTCCACCATCAGCATCCAGGGGGTGGCCCTCGCCCTGGTCCAGAGCATCACGGAGAAGATGCAGCCGTGCTGCAAGGCCCCGGCCATCCCCAGCCCGGTGGCCGACCTTTCCACCTTCTCGCTCACCTACAGCAGCAGCATCCGCTCCCTGGAGGTACCTGTTTTCTTTGGCGGGGGGGGGGGAAATACCTCTCCCCCCTCTCTTTCTGTGTCGTCTTGCAGAGTTGCCAGACTTGGTCTTGTAGCGAGTATGCATTCTCTTGCACAACAGCCAAATAAGTTTCAAGGCGGTAGTTGCTTTAATGCTTGCGATGGGCTCATTTTTTCTTTTAGCTGACACACGACGAGCCTCCTGGTTTAGGTGGATTTTTTTTGAAAACAGAAGGAACCAGAAATGGCAGACTTAAGTGGCTAGCATTTGTGCAGGTGCTTAAAAAGAAGTTTGTTGACTCTTAATAGTTTTTTTTAAAAAATCTTGTGGCATTGTGGGGAGAGACTTTCCCACACTCTCCTGCTTAGCTCCACATCAGAGCTAGAACAGTGTGAAGTTTCTAGTCCTCTTGATCCTTTCGAGGCAGGCTGTGTCCCTCTTTTTTTGCCTGAGCCTTTTCCTCCCTCCTCTTTCTCTTCCTCGGCCGCAGGTTCAGTGCGGGGAAAACCTGAGCGTCCTCTGGAGCCCCTCCCACCACATGTGCCTCTTCCACCACCTCCTGGCCACCTTCCGGTGTTACGAGAAGTTGCGAAGCGTGTTGTTGCCGCCAGCCGACAGTGTCTCCCCCGCCCCCGGAGACGCAGACCCCGAGAACCGGGCTTCCGCCACAGACAATGGGCCCCCGGGAGGTGACGCCGGCCCTCCGAGGCGGCTTCTCAGCCTGACGCTGGAGCTGAGCGCCCTCAAAGTCACGGCCTTTGTCTCGGAGAGCCGGTACTTGAGCCTGGTGGCCGAGCGGGTGTCCCTCAGCCGCCACGCCGCCTCTCTCCAAGCCTACTGCCCGGGGCTGGTGGCCGGCTTTGACGGCAACAGCATTTTTGTCTTCAAGGAGGTGGAGTTCCAAGCCCTGCCCGAACTGGAGGAGATGATCCTGCACCGGGGGCCGTTCCCTTCGCTGGGGACCTTGCGGAACCGCGTCTGGGCCCTCTCGTGCGCCAGCGTGGCCGTGGAGTTCCCTTACCAGTACGACTTCTCGGCCACGCTGGACGAAGCCCTGGGGGTGCAGAAGTGGCTGAAGGGGCTCCACGGAGGCGGGGGACACGTTCCCGGGGCCGGCCGCCCCGCCCTCCCCCCGGACCTGCTCCTCCGCGTCGAGCACTTCTCCTGGGTCTTCCTGGACGACGTCTTTGAGGTCAAGCTGCGGGACAACTACGAGCTGATGAAGGACGAGAGCCAGGAGAGCACCAAGCGGCTGCAGCTGCTGGACGCCAAGGTGGCCGCCCTGCGCAAGCAGCACGGGGAGCTGCTGCCGGCCCGCAAGATCGAGGAGCTCTACGCCTCCCTGGAGAAGAGGAACATCGAGATCTACATCCAGCGCTCGCACCGCCTCTACGCCAACACCCCCATGCGCAAGGCCCTCCTCACCTGGACCGTGGGCGGCCTGGAGCTGGCGGCCCTGGCCGACGAGGCCTTCCACGGGGCTGAGAGGGTGGCCCAGCAGATCCGGGAGCTGGACGCCGCCAGCCCCTTCCCGCCCGAAGGCCTGGACCTCATCACCCACTGGTGCCGGATGGTGAAAGGCAGCGCCAAGACCTTCTTCGGTGCGTTTCAGCCTGGGGGGGGAGGGGGGGCAGGCTTGCCGGGAAGGGACGCCGACCCTCCCTGGTTCTTTGCCCCCAGAGCTTACTGGGAACGGTAGTTCTGGGCAGGCTTGCCCTTTGCATGGCATAGCACGAGAATAAAAAAGACAAGCCGGGAAGGGAAGAGGAGAGCGAACAAACTCAGGCAGTGGTTTTTTAGACTCCAGCAAATATATTTATGCATTTCGTGTGGCTGTCTAGTATAAACGGTTCTTCTCCGCTTCCTCTTCAACGGGCAGCGTGAAAAGGGTCTTTTGTTTGCGTGCGAGCTCCCGGTGGGAACTTGGAAGGCCAGAGTTGGCAAATGTTGAGTTGTTCAGAATGGCCTTTTTAAAATAGTGGAGCTGCATTTCAAGAGTATGAGTTAGAAGGAAATGGCTTTTATTGTAAGAAGGAAGTTCCTTTACAAGTAATGGTTTCTGGTTGCTTTTTAGTCATTTAAAGATCAGGAAACTTTCCAGTTTCCTGCCTTTCTTGTATCATTCCTAAATGTTTTCGAAAGCGGGATGAGTTGTGCCTTTAAGCAACACGGAGTGGTGGCCATGAGTTACTTTTTCCCCCAAAGTAATTCATTGCTGTTTCTCTATAGGAAGAGGAGGGGCAGAGGGGAAAAGAGAGCGCGAACATCTGTGCCAGATGTTAGCAGAGTGCTTGGGAGGAAAATATGGAAAGTGGAAGAGGAGTCAGAGATGGGTTGCTGGCTGGGGGGGTGGAGGATCGGGCCCCACTTTCTCGCCTTGTCGCAGCCCAGAGGGACTGCCACGGAGGGTGGGGGGGGGTTTCACGGGGACTCACCTTTTCCCTTTCCTTCCCTCTTCGGTTCGCAGTGCGGATCCGT